AAGCTAAGCGATGCTAAGCGAAGCAAAGGGAAGCGAAGCAAAATGAAGCGAAGCGAAGCGAAGCGAAGCTAAGCCAAGCAAAGTGAAGCGAAGCTAAGAGAAGCTAAGCGAAGCTAAGCAAAGCTAAGCGAAGCGAAGTGAAGCTAAGCAAAGCAAAGCGAAGCTAGGTGAAGCAAAGCTAAGCAAAGCTAAGCGAAGCAAAGAGAAGCAAAGCGAAGCAAAGCGAAGCGAAGCTAAGCGAAGCTAAGCAAAGCTAAGCGAAGCGAAGCTAAGCTAAGCGAAGCGAAGAGAAGCAAAACGAAGCGAAGCGAAGCAGAGCTAAGCGATTATCTTGTGCACATGCACAAATTTTTAATGCAAAACAAGGGCTTAGAAGTGGCACAGTATCTGAAAAAAGAAATAAAGCTGAGGTTTTGTTGGGCAACGCTCAATTGTTTAGACATGAGACAATAGTTGACATACTCTAACTTCCCAACCATTTGGATTTAGGATCTGAGCACAAACCATGATGATCTTGAGGCCATACACTAGCTATGAATGCAAAAGGAAAGAGTTTTAGTGAACCAATTACCTAAATGAAAAAAACTTGTTGTTGTTTGGGGGGGTATCACTCAAGAACTTGGACATGCGACCATGCTTGAGATACCATAACTTCCCACACACCTGGGTTTTGCATCCGAGCACAAGCCAGCATGCTCTTGAGCCCATACACTAACCATGCATGCAAAAAGTAAGATGTTTGAGCACGCTCAATAGCAAGATAACCAAGTTGAGGCCTCGTAGGAAAATGCTCAAGTACTGGAAAAAAACACATACGATACCATAACTTTTTGCACACTTAGGTTTTGGATCTGAGCACAAGCCACGATTATCTTGTGCCCATGCACTAATTTTTCATGCAAAACAAGGGCTTAGGAATGGCACAGTATCTGAAAAAAGAAATAAAGCTGAGGTTTTGTTGGGCAACGCTCAATTGTTTAGACATGAGACAATAGTTGACATACTCTAACTTCCCAACCATTTGGATTTTGGATCTGAGCACAAGCCATGATGATCTTGAGGCCATACACTAGCTATGTATGCAAAAGGAAAGAGTTTTAGTGAAAAAAGTACCTAAATGAAAAAAACTTGTTGTTGTTTGGTGGGGTATCACTCAAGAACTTGGACATGCGACCATGCTTGAGATACCATAACTTCCCACACACCTGGGTTTTGCATCCGAGCACAAGCCAGCATGCTCTTGAGCCCATACACTAACCATGCATGCAAAAAGTAAGATGTTTGAGCACGCTCAATAGCAAGATAACCAAGTTGAGGCCTCGTAGGAAAATGCTCAAGTACTGGAAAAAGAAACACATACGATACCATAACATTTTGCACACTTAGGTTTTGGATCTGAGCACAAGCCACGATTATCTTGTGCCCATGCACTAATTTTTAATGCAAAACAAGGGCTTAGAAGTGGCACAGTATCTGAAAAAAGAAATAAAGCTGAGGTTTTGTTGGGCAACGCTCAATTGTTTAGACATGAGACAATAGTTGACATACTCTAACTTCCCAACCATTTGGATTTTGGATCTGAGCACAAACCATGATGATCTTGAGGCCATACACTAGCTATGAATGCAAAAGGAAAGAGTTTTAGTGAACAAATTACCTAAATGAAAAAAACTTGTTGTTGTTTGGGGGGGTATCACTCAAGAACTTGGACATGCGACAATGCTTGAGATACCATAACATCCCACACACCTGGGTTTTGCATCCGAGCACAAGCCAGCATGCTCTTGAGCCCATACACTAACCATGCATGCAAAAAGTAAGATGTTTGAGCACGCTCAATAGCAAGATAACCAAGTTGAGGCCTCGTAGGAAAATGCTCAAGTACTGGAAAAAAACACATACGATACCATAACATTTTGCACACTTAGGTTTTGGATCTGAGCACAAGCCACGATTATCTTGTGCCCAAGCACTAATTCTTAATGCAAAACAAGGGCTTAGGAATGGCACAGTATCTGAAAAAAGAAATAAAGCTGAGGTTTTGTTGGGCAACGCTCAATTGTTTAGACATGAGACAATAGTTGACATACTCTAACTTCCCAACCATTTGGATTTTGGATCTGAGCACAAGCCATGATGATCTTGAGGCCATACACTAGCTATGTATGCAAAAGGAAAGAGTTTTAGTGAACAAATTACCTAAATGAAAAAAACTTGTTGTTGTTTGGGGGGGTATCACTCAAGAACTTGGACATGCGACCATGCTTGAGATACCATAACTTCCCACACACCTGGGTTTTGCATCCGAGCACAAGCCAGCATGCTCTTGAGCCCATACACTAACCATGCATGCAAAAAGTAAGATGTTTGAGCACGCTCAATAGCAAGATAACCAAGTTGAGGCCTCGTAGGAAAATGCTCAAGTACTGGAAAAAGTAACACATACGATACCATAACATTTTGCACACTTAGGTTTTGGATCTGAGCACAAGCCACGATTATCTTGTGCCCATGCACTAATTTTTCATGCAAAACAAGGGCTTAGAAATGGCACAGTATCTGAAAAAAGAAATAAAGCTGAGGTTTTGTTGGGCAACGCTAAATTGTTTAGACATGAGACAATAGTTGACATACTCTAACTTCCCAACCATTTGGATTTTGGATCTGAGCACACACCATGATGATCTTGAGGCCATACACTAGCTAAGAATGCAAAAGGAAAGAGTTTTAGTGAACAAATTACCTAAATGAAAAAAACTTGTTGTTGTTTGGGGGGGTATCTTTCAAGAACTTGGACATGCGACAATGCTTGAGATACCATAACATCCCACACACCTGGGTTTTGCATCCGAGCACAAGCCAGCATGCTCTTGAGCCCATACACTAACCATGCATGCAGAAAGTAAGATGTTTGAGCACGCTCAATAGCAAGATAACCAAGTTGAGGCCTCGTAGGAAAATGCTCAAGTACTGGAAAAAAACACATACGATACCATAACATTTTGCACACTTAGGTTTTGGATCTGAGCACAAGCCACGATTATCTTGTGCCCATGCACTAATTTTTCATGCAAAACAAGGGCTTAGAAATGGCACAGTATCTGAAAAAAGAAATAAAGCTGAGGTTTTGTTGGGCAACGCTCAATTGTTTAGACATGAGACAATAGTTGACATACTCTAACTTCCCAACCATTTGGATTTTGGATCTGAGCACACACCATGATGATCTTGAGGCCATACACTAGCTAAGAATGCAAAAGGAAAGAGTTTTAGTGAACAAACTACCTAAATGAAAAAAACTTGTTGTTGTTTGGGGGGGTATCACTCAAGAACTTGGACATGCGACAATGCTTGAGATACCATAACATCCCACACACCTGGGTTTTGCATCCGAGCACAAGCCAGCATGCTCTTGAGCCCATACACTAACCATGCATGCAAAAAGTAAGATGTTTGAGCACGCTCAATAGCAAGATAACCAAGTTGAGGCCTCGTAGGAAAATGCTCAAGTACTGGAAAAAAATACATACGATACCATAAATTTTTGCACACTTAGGTTTTGGATCTGAGCACAAGCCACGATTATCTTGTGCCCATGCACTAATTCTTAATGCAAAACAAGGGCTTAGGAATGGCACAGTATCTGAAAAAAGAAATAAAGCTGAGGTTTTGTTGGGCAACGCTCAATTGTTTAGACATGAGACAATAGTTGACATACTCTAACTTCCCAACCATTTGGATTTTGGATCTGAGCACAAACCATGATGATCTTGAGGCCATACACTAGCTATGAATGCAAAAGGAAAGAGTTTTAGTGAACAAATTACCTAAATGAAAAAAACTTGTTGTTGTTTGGGGGGGTATCACTCAAGAACTTGGACATGCGATAATGCTTGAGATACCATAACTTCCCACACACCTGGGTTTTGCATCCGAGCACAAGCCAGCATGCTCTTGAGCCCATACACTAACCATGCATGCAAAAAGTAAGATGTTTGAGCACGCTCAATAGCAAGATAACCAAGTTGAGGCCTCGTAGGAACATGCTCTAGTACTGGAAAAAAACACATACGATACCATAACTTTTTGCACACTTAGGTTTTGGATCTGAGCACAAGCCACGATTATCTTGTGCCCATGCACTAATTCTTAATGCAAAACAAGGGCTTAGGAATGGCACAGTATCTGAAAAAAGAAATAAAGCTGAGGTCTTGTTGGGCAACGCTCAATTGTTTAGACATGAGACAATAGTTGACATACTCTAACTTCCCAACCATTTGGATTTTGGATCTGAGCACAAACCATGATGATCTTGAGGCCATACACTAGCTAAGAATGCAAAAGGAAAGAGTTTTAGTGAACAAATTACCTAAATGAAAAAAACTTGTTGTTGTTTGGAGGGGTATCACTCAAGAACTTGGACATGCGATAATGCTTGAGATACCATAACTTCCCACACACCTGGGTTTTGCATCTGAGCACAAGCCAGCATGCTCTTGAGCCCATACACTAACCATGCATGCAAAAAGTAAGATGTTTGAGCACGCTCAATAGCAAGATAACCAAGTTGAGGCCTCGTAGGAAAATGCTCAAGTACTGGAAAAAAATACATACGATACCATAACTTTTTGCACACTTAGGTTTTGGATCTGAGCACAAGCCACGATTATCTTGTGCCCATGCACTAATTTTTCATGCAAAACAAGGGCTTAGAAATGGCACAGTATCTGAAAAAAGAAATAAAGCTGAGGTTTTGTTGGGCATGTTGTGTGATGTCATCATATGCTATCACATTCTGTCTGCCTCCCATCCCATATTTTTTCAACTTGCATGTGTGGTTTGAACGTGTGCAAGAATTTGTGTGTGATGTGTTCTGGAGTTTGGGAATGTGTTTTGTGTTATTTTGTTTGAGCAGGTTTTTTGTGATGATAGATCTTGAGAAGATCTTTCCGACGCAACGAGAATCCTTCAATCGGAGCAAGAACGCGAAAGCTATGAAGATTCAAAGTTCATGAGCTTGCGTTACAATTGCGGCGGTTACAAAGTGAAGTTGTGGGGTGACTCTATATGGAGTTGGGACCTTTGGGGTTGGGGAAATTTGTCACTCACTGTAACAGCTGCAAATTGGTTGGGAACAACCAAGCTAGGTTGGCAAGGGTGGCCAACTTGGATGGATTGGTTGGGAAGGGACAAATGTCAAAGTTGGGGTTCCTATAGGGAGGGAATCTTTGTGCTTATGGGGTTTCCTTGGTTGGGGACTCTCTTGGGACCTTCCCTCTCATCCCTCTCTTCCTATCCCAACCTTTCTCTTGCTCCTTCTAATTCCTTGTGAGATTCTTGAACTTTGATTGAACTCTTGAGATTGAGTTAAGTTCTCCTCCTACAGCTTACCCCCTAGTGCGTCGAAAGCCATAGCGTCGCGAATACTTCATCAATCAACGTGATTCAAATTGGGAACGGTAGCTGAGATCAAGAGCTACAACATATCCAAGTTTCGCGACATTCCAACGGCTAGTGTTTTGTCGACGTCGTTTCTTGTGAAGACGACTTTTCTGTCCAGAATTTCGGATTTATATTTTGAGTAATTCTAGCTCCTAAGTTCACCTAGACTCTGTCCTTAATCCTAACAAGTGGTATCAGAGCGATATTAAGGACATTGAGAGGAGTCTACAGAAGTGTGAAGACCCTTCTAGACCCACCATGGCCTGTGGGTGTGCCTAAGTGGTGTTCTAAAGGTTGGATGTGTCTTCCGCTAAGGGGAAACTCTGCCGAAATTTCGTGGACGCCGACACTTGTGAAAATATCGAGGGAGCTGAGTGTGGACAGCAAAGGGGGGCTGAAATTCGTCATTTCTCAAGGAGAAGATGAATGAGAGAGGAGGAGATGCTAATGGAAGAGGAGCTGTAGCTGAGAAGACAAGTGAGCCGCCGCCATCAAAAGTTGAAGCTTTGGATGGCTCCAACTATGAGGAATGGAGCGGACGGATGAGGAGTGCCTTCAAACGCTACAAGCTACTGAAGATTGCTGTTGGGGAAGAGAAGATGCCGGAAGAAGGCGAAGCACGTGAACGGTGGATTGAGAAAAGCGCGGTGCTTTTCGACCTCATCCTTCAATCGGTCAACAAGGAGATGTTCGAGCACATCAAGGATCTTGTGGAAGCGGATGATTCGGGTCCAAGGGCGTGGAAACTACTACGCGATGTGATTCAGCCCAACACTCTCCCGATGGTGATCGTGCTCGAGAAGGAACTTGCTGCCATCTCCATGCGACCAGGGGACGATGTGAAGCCGGTCCTTGACAAGATCAAGGACACCTATGCAAGGATGGCAGCAGCGGGCAGCAGTGTATCTCAGCTGCAGCAGTGCACCAAGATCATCTCGGTGTTGGACAACTCTTGGGACAACCTCATCCCCACCCTCAACTCTCAGCAAGATCAATGGACACCTGAGTGGCTAAGGCAGCAGATTCTGCAGGAGGACTTCCGCAGACGCCATGTGGGAGGCGGTGCTGCCACTAAGACTGCTGAGGGGTATGGAGCTGCAGGGCGCGGCAGAGGAAGAGGGGGTTGGAAAGGCCGAGGCCGTGGGAGAGCTTTGGCAGAGGTAGAGGCCGAGGTGACTATAATGAGGGGCATGGGAGCTCCAGTGGCAGGGGGAGTACCAGAATGGAGGGCACCTGCTGGTACTGCAAGAAGGTCGGGCATCCTTGGTTCAAGTGCTTCAGCAGGCTGGAGGGATGGTCACCTCCAGGCATGAAGCCGCCAGTGGTGAACGCGCACAAGGTGGCGCTGTGCAAGGCTCAGGTGCACAAGGTGAAGGTGCACAAGGTAACGCCTATCCTGGGATGTATCTCATGGTTGAGGATGTGCATGGGCATGAGGGTGATGTGGGATCTGTGGGAAAGGTTGTGATGCACCCTCTCACGCACTGGGTGATTGATTCGGGTTGCACCAGTCACATGACCCCACGGGCAGATTTGCTTGATGAGGTAAAACCCCCTGGGAAGATTAAGTATGTGGCAGCAGCGTCAGGTGCTTTGCTCCCGTGATTGGTGTTGGGAATGCCAAGGTTAAGGGAGCTAATGGGGAGCTTGTGGGGCTTGGGAATGTTCTGCTGGTTAAAGGCTTGTCTGCTAACCTTCTCTCTGTGCGGCGACTGCAGAAGAGTAAGGCCGAAGTGACCTTTGGACCAACCAGCTGCCGTGCTAAGCTTGGGAAGAAGGTGCTGTGGAGTCTGGAAGAGGAGACCAGCTGCATCAAGGACCTGTGGCAGCTGCCCATCATCCCTTGGAATGGGAAGACTCCAACAGCAGCAACGGCAGCAGCGGCAAAGGCAACAGCAGGAGGAGATGCAACTGCACCAACTGATGGGGTCCTGGAAGCAGTCAAGAAAGTGCAGCAGCAGCAGACACATGGTGAGGTGCTTGCTGGTGTGGATGCGAGTGCGGCATGGGCTAAGGCTTCATCAAGGAGTGGAGAGGCCGATTGGGAGACATGGCATGAGAGGCTGTGTCATGTGAACTTCCCTATGCTGCAGAAGTTGGTGAAGGATGGGAGCCTGAAGGGCTTGGAGGTGAAAGGGGGAGTGAAGGAGATTGGGAGCTGCCCTACATGCTTGGAGACCAAGTTCTCCAAGTTCCCCTTCAACAGCACTACAGGACCAGCCAAGACCCCACTTGCACTTGTGCACATGGATGTGGTGGGGCCCACAAGAGCCCCTTCCCTCTCAGGCAGCCGCTATTTCTTGACAATTGTGGATGACCACACTCGGGCAGTGTGGGTTTACCCTTTGAAGAGCAAGGGGGAGGTGGCAGCGGCTGTCCTTAAGGAGTGGATGCCTAGAGCTCAGAGGGAATGCGGACACAAGGTGAAGGTGATCCGCAGTGACAATGGTGGGGAGTTCATTGGAGCTGATTTTGAGGGGGAGTTGAAGAGGAAGGGGATCCAGCATCAACTGACAGTGCCCTACAACCCGCAGCAGAATGGCGTGGCTGAGAGGTTCAACAGGACCCTGCAGGAGGGGGCACGCACTCTCCTTGGGCGTGCAGGGCTGCCTGATCCGTTTTGGGTGTCTGCACTGAGGCAGGTCGCCCTTGTGAAGAACAGGGTGCTGGCTACAGTTGGAGATAAGGAGTGGATCCCATATGTCAAGTGGTATGGGAGTGCTCCAGCTGTGAACATGCTGAGGGCATTTGGGTGCATGGTGGTGTTTCATGTGCCTAAGGAGAAAAGGGGAAGTTGGAGGCTTCTGGAAGATGGGGTGTGCACTTGGGGATTGCAAAGGATCACAAGGGGTGGCTGCTATGGGACTTGACCACCCAGAAGTTGACAGTGTCAAGGGATGTGAAGTTTCTTGAGTCCCTGTACTACAAGGAATGGAAGCAGCAGCAACAGAAGCTTCCATCTACACCGCTCATTGTGGAGGCAGATGAGGTGCAGCAGCCTTCAAGACAGGTGGAGGTTGCAGTGTCAGAGGAGGAGATGTCTGGGGTGACTGAGGAAGGGGGAGCAGCTGAAGTAGAGCAGCAGCAGCAGCAGCAGCATGAGTCTCCACCTCGAGTTCCACACCCGCCTGAGCGTCCTAGGAGGGATGTGCGCCCTCCAGTGAGGCTGACCTATGGGGGAAGAGGCAAGCCGAATGTGGTGCAGGCTGGGAGTGTGGTTGAGCAGATTGAGGAAGATGAGATCGCTCACTGCTACTGGGCACCAATCCCTGAGCCCAAGACTCGAGAAGAGGCCTTGAATGGACCAAATGGGGAGAAGTGGAAGGCGAGTGAGGATGAGGAGTTCGGGTCCCTAATTGAGAACGAGACATGGGACCTGTGTGACTTGCCTCCTGGAAAGAAGGCAATCACTTCCAAGATGATCTACAGGCACAAGTATGGACCTGAAGGGGAGCTGACCCGCTACAAGTCTAGGCTTGTGGCACGGGGGTTTCAGCAGACAAAGGGAAGGACTATGATGAGGTGTTTGCTCCTGTGGGGAAAGGAACAACACTGAGGGTGCTGTTAGCGATAGCTGCACTCCTGGGATGGAAGATTCGGCAGATGGACATTGTGACTGCCTTTCTGAATGGGATCATTATGGAGGAGGTGTACATGAAGCAGCCAGAGGGGCTGGATGACGGGAGCGGCAGGGTCTGCAGGCTGAAGAAGGCCATCTATGGCCTTAAGCAGGCGCCTCGTGCATGGTATCACAAGTTGGAGGAGGCGCTGTTGGCTGGGGGTTTCAAGAAGAGTGAGTGTGACCCCAGCCTGTTCCTGCTGCAGGAGAAGGATGAAATCCTCATGCTCTTGGTGTATGTGGATGATATCCTTCTCTTTTCTGCATCAACTGCTTTGCTGGACAGCGCAGAGCAGATGCTGGAGATGCAGTTCAAGTGCTCCAAGATGGGTGAGGTGAAGTACTACTTGGGGATGCACGTGGAGAGAGATGTGGAAAAGGGTGTGCTGAGGTTGCACCAGAGGAAGTACTGTGAGGGGCTGGCTGAGAAGTATGGGCTGCAAGATGGGGGAAAGCCAGCAACACCACTACCTTCAGGGTTTACTGTGGAGCCATGTGCTGATGAGGAGGTAGTGGGTGATAGTGACAGGAAGCTGTTTCATTCGATGGTTGGGTCGCTGAATTATGCTGCAAATCATACACGGCCTGACATTGCATTTGCTACATCACGATTGGCTAGTGTGGTCTCACGCCCTAGTCATGAGCAGCTGGAAGCGGCCAAGAGGTTGGTCCGCTATGTGAGCGCTACGGCATCAGTGGGATTGGAGTACAGTGGAGTGAGGCAGCGGTTGCAGAGAGGTGCTGCAGATGTGAAGAGTGGAGAGATGCTCTTGAGTTGCTATACTGACGCTAGCTTCAACTCAGTGAAAGCGGATGGCACCAGCATTGGGGGTTATGTGTGCTTGCTAGGAGGTGGTGCTGTGAGCTGGCGCAGCAAGAAGCAGAATGAGGTGGGATTGTCCTCATGTGAGACTGAGTACATGGCCTTACACCATGGGGCCAAGGAAGTAGTGTGGCTAAGGCGTTTGTTGGAGGAGTTGGGAGTTGGTCAGGAGAAGCCGACAGTTGTGTTTTGTGACAATGAGTCCGCTGTGAAGCTCGCCAAGAATGCTTGTCTGCATGGGCTGACAAAACACATAAGGCCTAAGTGGCATTGGGTGAGGAGACTCCTTGATAAGGAGGTGCGGCTGGAGATAGTGAAGACCCATCAGCAGGCAGCAGATATTTTCACCAAGCGTCTGGCGGAGGCGGATCATTGGAAGGGCATGAAGCTTGCTGGGATGAGTGTGCATTGAGTATGCATGCTTGAGATGTGGTATGGTGGATGATGGTTGGCAGCCAGAGGGGGAGATTGTTGTGTGATGTCATCATATGCTATCACATTCTGTCTGCCTCCCATCCCATATTTTTTCAACTTGCATGTGTGGTTTGAACGTGTGCAAGAATTTGTGTGTGATGTGTTCTGGAGTTTGGGAATGTGTTTTGTGTTATTTTGTTTGAGCAGGTTTTTGTGATGATAGATCTTGAGAAGATCTTTCCGACGCAACGAGAATCCCTTCAATCGGAGCAAGAACGCGAAAGCTATGAAGATTCAAAGTTCATGAGCTTGCGTTACAATTGCGGCGGTTACAAAGTGAAGTTGTGGGGTGACTCTATATGGAGTTGGGACCTTTGGGGTTTGGGAAATTTGTCACTCTACTGTAACAGCTGCAAATTGGTTGGGAACAACCAAGCTAGGTTGGCAAGGGTGGCCAACTTGGATGGATTGGTTGGGAAGGGACAAATGTCAAAGTTGGGGTTCCTATAGGGAGGGAATCTTTGTGCTTATGGGGTTTCCTTGGTTGGGGACTCTCTTGGGACCTTCCCTCTCATCCCTCTCTTCCTATCCCAACCTTTCTCTTGCTCCTTCTAATTCCTTGTGAGATTCTTGAACTTTGATTGAACTCTTGAGATTGAGTTAAGTTCTCCTCCTACAGCTTACCCCCTAGTGCGTCGAAAGCCATAGCGTCGCGAATACTTCATCAATCAACGTGATTCAAATTGGGAACGGTAGCTGAGATCAAGAGCTACAACATATCCAAGTTTCGCGACATTCCAACGGCTAGTGTTTTGTCGACGTCGTTTCTTGTGAAGACGACTTTTCTGTCCAGAATTTCGGATTTATATTTTGAGTAATTCTAGCTCCTAAGTTCACCTAGACTCTGTCCTTAATCCTAACAGGGCAACGCTCAATTGTTTAGACATGAGACAATAGTTGACATACTCTAACTTCCCAACCATTTGGATTTTGGATCTGAGCACAAGCCATGATGATCTTGAGGCCATACACTAGCTATGTATGCAAAAGGAAAGAGTTTTTGTGAACAAAGTACCTAAATGAAAAAAACTTGTTGTTGTTTGGGGGGGTATCACTCAAGAACTTGGACATGCGATAATGCTTGAGATACCATAACATCCCACACACCTGGGTTTTGCATCCGAGCACAAGCCAGCATGCTCTTGAGCCCATACACTAACCATGCATGCAAAAAGTAAGATGTTTGAGCACGCTCAATAGCAAGATAACCAAGTTGAGGCCTCGTAGGAAAATGCTCAAGTACTGGAAAAAAACACATACGATACCATAACTTTTTGCACACTTAGGTTTTGGATCTGAGCACAAGCCACGATTATCTTGTGCCCATGCACTAATTTTTAATGCAAAACAAGGGCTTAGAAATGGCACAGTATCTGAAAAAAGAAATAAAGCTGAGGTTTTGTTGGGCAACGCTCAATTGTTTAGACATGAGACAATAGTTGACATACTCTAACTTCCCAACCATTTGGATTTTGGATCTGAGCACAAGCCATGATGATCTTGAGGCCATACACTAGCTATGTATGCAAAAGGAAAGAGTTTTTGTGAACAAAGTACCTAAATGAAAAAAACTTGTTGTTGTTTGGGGGGTATCACTCAAGAACTTGGACATGCGACCATGCTTGAGATACCATAACTTCCCACACACCTGGGTTTTGCATCCGAGCACAAGCCAGCATGCTCTTGAGCCCATACACTAACCATGCATGCAAAAAGTAAGATGTTTGAGCACGCTCAATAGCAAGATAACCAAGTTGAGGCCTCGTAGGAAAATGCTCAAGTACTGGAAAAAAATACATACGATACCATAACTTTTTGCACACTTAGGTTTTGGATCTGAGCACAAGCCACGATTATCTTGTGCCCATGCACTAATTTTTCATGCAAAACAAGGGCTTAGAAATGGCACAGTATCTGAAAAAAGAAATAAAGCTGAGGTTTTGTTGGGCAACGCTCAATTGTTTAGACATGAGACAATAGTTGACATACTCTAACTTCCCAACCATTTGGATTTTGGATCTGAGCACACACCATGATGATCTTGAGGCCATACACTAGCTAATTATGCCAAAGGAAAGAGTTTTAGTGAACAAAGTACCTAAATGAAAAAAACTTGTTGTTGTTTGGGGGGGTATCACTCAAGAACTTGGACATGCGACAATGCTTGAGATACCATAACATCCCACACACCTGGGTTTTGCATCCGAGCACAAGCCAGCATGCTCTTGAGCCCATACACTAACCATGCATGCAAAAAGTAAGATGTTTGAGCACGCTCAATAGCAAGATAACCAAGTTGAGGCCTCGTAGGAAAATGCTCAAGTACTGGAAAAAAATACATACGATACCATAAATTTTTGCACACTTAGGTTTTGGATCTGAGCACAAGCCACGATTATCTTGTGCCCATGCACTAATTTTAATGCAAAACAAGGGCTTAGAAATGGCACAGTATCTGAAAAAAGAAATAAAGCTGAGGTTTTGTTGGGCAACGCTCAATTGTTTAGACATGAGACAATAGTTGACATACTCTAACTTCCCAACCATTTGGATTTTGGATCTGAGCACAAACCATGATGATCTTGAGGCCATACACTAGCTATGAATGCAAAAGGAAAGATTTTTAGTGAACAAATTACCTAAATGAAAAAAACTTGTTGTTGTTTGGGGGGGTATCACTCAAGAACTTGGACATGCGATAATGCTTGAGATACCATAACTTCCCACACACCTGGGTTTTGCATCCGAGCACAAGCCAGCATGCTCTTGAGCCCATACACTAACCATGCATGCAAAAAGTAAGATGTTTGAGCATGCTCAATAGCAAGATAACCAAGTTGAGGCCTCGTAGGAAAATGCTCAAGTACTGGAAAAAAATACATACGATACCATAACTTTTTGCACACTTAGGTTTTGGATCTGAGCACAAGCCACGATTATCTTGTGCCCATGCACTAATTTTTAATGCAAAACAAGGGCTTAGGAATGGCACAGTATCTGAAAAAAGAAATAAAGCTGAGGTTTTGTTGGGCAACGCTCAATTGTTTAGACATGAGACAATAGTTGACATACTCTAACTTCCCAACCATTTGGATTTTGGATCTGAGCACAAGCCATGATGATCTTGAGGCCATACACTAGCTATGTATGCAAAAGGAAAGAGTTTTTGTGAACAAAGTACCTAAATGAAAAAAACTTGTTGTTGTTTGGGGGGGTATCACTCAAGAACTTGGACATGCGACAATGCTTGAGATACCATAACATCCCACACACCTGGGTTTTGCATCCGAGCACAAGCCAGCATGCTCTTGAGCCCATACACTAACCATGCATGCAAAAAGTAAGATGTTTGAGCACGCTCAATAGCAAGATAACCAAGTTGAGGCCTCGTAGGAAAATGCTCAAGTACTGGAAAAAAATACATACGATACCATAAATTTTTGCACACTTAGGTTTTGGATCTGAGCACAAGCCACGATTATCTTGTGCCCATGCACTAATTCTTAATGCAAAACAAGGGCTTAGGAATGGCACAGTATCTGAAAAAGAAAATAAAGCTGAGGTTTTGTTGGGCAACGCTCAATTGTTTAGACATGAGACAATAGTTGACATACTCTAACTTCCCAACCATTTGGATTTTGGATCTGAGCACAAACCATGATGATCTTGAGGCCATACACTAGCTATGAATGCAAAAGGAAAGAGTTTTAGTGAACAAATTACCTAAATGAAAAAAACTTGTTGTTGTTTGGGGGGGTATCACTCAAGAACTTGGACATGCGATAATGCTTGAGATACCATAACTTCCCACACACCTGGGTTTTTGCATCCGAGCACAAGCCAGCATGCTCTTGAGCCCCATACACTAACCATGCATGCAAAAAGTAAGATGTTTGAGCACGCTCAATAGCAAGATTGTTAGGATTAAGGACGGAGTCTAGGTGAACTTAGGAGCTAGAATTACTCAAAATATAAAATCCGAAATTCTGGACCAAGAAAAGTCGTCTTCACAAGAAACGACGTCGACAAACAACTAGCCGTTGGAATGTCGCGAAACTTGGATATGTTGTTAGCTTCTTAATCTCAGCTACCGTTCCCAATTTGAATCATGTTGATTGATAAAGTATTTCGCGACGCTATGGCTTTCGACGCACTAGGGGGTAAGCTGTAGGAGGAGAACTTAACTCAATCTCAAAGGTTCAATCAAAGTTCAAGAATCTCACAAGGAATTAGAGGAGCAAGAGAAAGGTTGGGATAGAAGAGAGGGATGAGAGGGAAGGTCCCAAGAGAGTCCCCAACCAAGGAAACCCCATAAGCACAAAGATTCCCTCCCTATAGGAACCTCAACTTTGACCTTTGTCCCTTCCCAACCAATCCATCCAAGTTGGCCACCCTTGCCAACCTAGCTTGGTTGTTCCCAACCTATTTGCAGCTGTTACAGTAGAGTGACAAGTTTACCCAACCCCAAAGGTCCCAACTCCATATAAAGTCACCCCACAACTTCACTTTGTAACCGCCGCAATTGTAACGCAAGCTCATGAACTTTGAATCTTCATAGCTTTCGCGTTCTTGCTCCGATTGAAGGGATTCTCGTTGCGTCGGAAAGATCTTCTCAAGATCTATCATCACAAAAAACCTGCTCAAACAAAATAACACAAAACACATTCCCAAACTCCAAGAACACATCACACACAAATTCTTGCACACGTTCAAACCACACATGCAAGTTGAAAAATATGGGATGGGAGGCAGACAGAATGTGATAGCATATGATGACATCACACAACAATCTCCCCCTCTGGCTGCC